AACAGGAAAATAAGGTCTGATATAAACAATAGATGATGCCTACCTAACAGTTAATGCCCATTTTAACTTTCATGTAACTATACGAACAGTATTTATTATCTTAAAGTATTACTATTTCGGCGATTAGCGCAATATAAATTATCATCTTGAATGCAACTTTAGTTACATTTCCATGACTGTTTCCAAAACATTTGGGGAAAAATATTGTTTTCCTAACTTTTCCAGTGGCCCTGGAATTAGCACTTTGAATTCGCATGACTTTCACCAGGTTTTTAATGACGTAAGAACCCTGCATGAAGGTATGCTGATAGAGAAAATAATTTTTTCCCTTTAGTATTTGTTTCTTATTTTTACACGGGTTTCATAAAAAAGATATAAAATGCACACGATTTATTTTTTTAAAACGAACAAACCAAACAATGCTGTATTCAGATAAGAGAATTGTAGAATTTTACATTATACAGAAATTCACTGAGGAATAAAACAGTTTAATATAAAGAAACAGAGGAAAACTATATCCGTAACTAAATGGATTCATACATGACACAGCCACAAACTAAAATATTAAAAGTCTACTCAAACTCCACCATGGCTCTTCAATGCTCTCCATACAATCAAGATACATCTTGATCAGTCTCTGGAATGAGTATTTGGCCAGCTTGGACTTGGTGCCGGCGCTGGCTGTCAGACTTCTCACCCGCTTACTTCATCCTGATCAAGGAAACACATTCCACATCCAGTCATATAAAGAAGGAAAACAAACCAGTCATGAGTTTCTGGTTTATGAGTGTGTATACAGTCTGTACCAGTGTCCATAGTCAAATCTCCAAGTGGGATAGACTTAATTGGGATACCTTTGGTGAAAGTTGGGTGCTCCCATGTGTTGCGATCTTCTCTATTGTAGACACACAGAATGTTGTCCATGGCAAGAGTTTTGCCGTGAAACTTGTTAGTTGTGCCTCCGATAGTGGTTACCCACTCTCCCCATGACCTGAAACACCCAGTACCTGCACATAGAGGGAAGAGATACTGTAGTTTGAGTTTGGATATATCATTTTAAACTTAGTACAATAGTGTTGGAAAGGAGAACAAACCACTGTTCCTCTGCAGTAGAAAAGATAAAAGGTCTAACCCTCAATCTCTGACCACTACCGTTCTGTACATCATTCTCTAGCAGCTGCAATTGTAAGTAGGAGTTTAGTTCCCTCCTCTGACAATTCCACAAGACCCAGCGTAGCGCTGTACATCTTTCCCGCTCTTGCTCCAGGCATGAGCGCTGTTTCTCCGCCCCCCTAAAAATAAATAAAGTCAAGGTCAGAAGACAAAGAATTGGATGGAGTAATAATGTTTTGAATCAAGGGCGCTCATGACTACCTGAATCTGGATCCGCAGCCCTCCTCCTTCACCGTCAGTTTCATCTTCTTGGTTTGCCATAGACTGCCTGTAATGCACGTAGAGCATTGTTTTTCATCAATAATCTTAGACCAAAGGTCCCCAGTGCTATAACCAGGGTTGGGAGTTACTTAAAAATGTAATCAGGTAACATATTCTGAGTATCATATTCTAAATGTAAATTAAATGTAATTACTTTTGGATTTCCTTAATTCAACAATGTGATGCATATACCGGTAAATACAAGAGAAAAATTATCAATAAGAAGGTTATTACCGTAAATTTTCGGACTATAAGGCGCACCTGAATATAAGCCGCAGCAGCGGCATACCACTTCTCGTTCCACTTTTACTTTTGCGCGCTACCTGTCGCACTCTTTTGCCGGCCTCCACTTTTCCTGCTGGAACCCGCCGCTTAAGAGGTGGGGGTCCGCTGGGACCGGCCATAGAGCCCATAGAGTTTAGAAGGTGTTGGCCGTTAGCTGTAAACAATCATAGTCAGCCGCACCGTTATATAACCTCGCAGCGTCGAAAAATAGGGAATAAAGGCGCGGCTTATAGTCCGAAAATTACGGTACTCAGTTTGCATGTAAGCAACAAACAATAGGCGCGATCACACTGCAGTCTTTTCCCACTTTAAGTTTCGATAAGTTCCGAAATGTTCGTTCACCACCAAAAAGAGCCGTAACTAAAATTAGTTCATCAGAACCTTTGTTTAACCCTTGATCCGTCAATGCTAGGAAGCAGGTGACTTTCCGGTGGAGAAAAAGGTTCCCTATGTCTGATTGGCTGGGCGAATGGCAAACTACGCCCGTAAAACTTCCAAAAAGTTTTGTGAAGCCGCCATTTTATTATCCTTGCGCATTAGCATTATTAGCCTTAACATTAGCCCAGCGGCAGAAACGCAGAGAGGACTAACTATGGCACACAAATAAACATGGAGCGGTGGAGATGAAGAGGATGTGCGCGTTCTGGCGATTTGCTGGGAACACCAGCAGCTTCTACTAGACATCAACATATACCGAGGCCTTCCGGCCCGGGACTTCGGAGTGGCAGTATACGCCGGAAGTTGGTATTGCGGCAGCCAGTAAACACACAGCAGAAGAAGAAAACAGACACACACACACACACACACACACGGTGTGAAGCGATTCTGTATTATAGACAACACACAACATGTGACTTTTGAAAAAAGACATTAGTTCAGGGCTCGACATTAAGACTGGCCCGTGCCCGGGGCCATCAGTATTTAGCCCTCGGGCCATGGAAGCCTCACCTGCTGGTTGCCCGATCGGGCAAGCTCATATACCAGTTATCATGCAGCTTGCGGATCCAGTAATGAGTGAACCCGACAGTTAAAAACTAAAAAAATATCTAATAACTAGTTTAGGTAGTTTGAGAGGTAATTAAAATAGCTACGTGTGATATTCAACCTGAAGTGTGTGGTTTTGTTCCGCTCACCGCGCATGTGATCATGCAGAGCTGCGTGTCGACTCACAGCTGATCTCTTCTCTCCGTCAGATTAGACTTCACTCGCGTTTAATGTCCATATCGATCAGATCCGCTAGTTTTAGCTAATGATTATGACTACCTGCTTATTAAAAGGACACCGTGACCTAAACACATAAGTTTCGCTATGCAACCGGGTGAGGCCACAAAGTATAGCGCAGCATTATGCTATTTGGTTTACATGCCCACGGAACCCCGAGCATTAGCACAGATACGCACAATCAAACCCATACAGCAACATCTCTTTCTCCACATTAAGTGTTACACATTAGAATTGACTACTCTGTCCTGTCACATACTCTTCTTGTCTGTCACATAAAGTGGGGTGGCGCAACTGAGCGATATGCGGCTAAAAAGGGGAATTATTTGACCGGACATTTTTGACCGAAGAGATTAGATTTGCTTGCACGGGATCTGACGTCCCGCCATTGTGTGTGCTTCCGGGATGCACTCGGCTGCTCGGGTCTGCTCGGTCAGCTTCTGGATGAGGAGGCATCCTTTCGACAATTACAGTAGATAACACTTACAAACATTTTTACGGGGCCATAATAGCGTAAAATGTTTTGTTTTGGCAGTTATAACTTGATGTAATGTTTTCTAATTTTTAACATTCTGGGAAGGGCATTTGCCTTCATCTGATGAAAGTGCTTGACCAACAACTTAAGATTTATTATAGCTATGCAGGGCTGCAAGCCGAGCAAAAACACAAACAAGTGAAATGAAGAATAAATTGAAATTGGTAATATTGTGGTGGTTCATATTTAGATTGAGTCTAGAGAATGCACCAGACAGCATCTAGACCTGCAAAAATCTAAATGTTCTAGGGGGAGGCCCCCAAACCCTTCGTGCGTCATTTCGTAACGCGGCGCATTTTTCGGGCATCTCTATTGGGCTCAGGGCCATCTGTAAATTAGCTTAGATGGCCCACAGGACCATCTCCCAAAATCCTTAATGTCATGCACTGTTTAGTATCAAAAAGGTTTCCTCTTATATTTTAGGCTTACAGAATATTATAGTCTAAAAATGCTGGTTTAGTTTAACATATTAGTTTTTTTTATATATATATATAAATAAAAAGGAAATCAGCCTAAATAAAAAGCACATTTTTTTTTAGTGGTGCACGATAATTATCGGCCCGATAATTATCGGTCCGATATTAGGAATTATGACGTCATCCCGATAAACCCGATAAAAGTATTAATAGCCCCGATAATATACAATATATTTTTTGGGTAAAAAAAAAGAAAAAAATACTGCGGTGTGGGTGGATTGGGATGAGGGGCGCTTGTTTTTCACTCGGCTCCGCCCGTTTTGCCAGTACTGTGGTATTAGTGGTTTAGGAAGAGGGGAGTTTTTCACAAATCCAGCGCTCCCTAACTCATGCCTCGCTGTGACGTAAATGGTGTGCGGCCGTGAAGCCAGGACAGTAAACAAACATGTCGTCGGTAGTATGGGACTATTTCAAAGTTTCAGAGTTAGATAGTTTGCTTGCTATTTGTATTAACAAATGCAATGCAGAAGTTCCACGAGGAGGGAAAAAGGCAACAGGTACATTTAATATATATATATATATATTATATTATTATCGGTTATCGGTATCGGTCTTGAGAAGCAGGAAGTTATCGGTATCGGTTTCAAAAAACCAATATCGTGCATCCCTAATGTTTTTGTACCTAGAATATATAATTTTGTATTATAAAAACGCATTATTACATTCTAATCCTGTTAGTAATCGAGATCTTAAAAAATTAGCAGTAATCTGATTACATCACCTGTAACTGTAAGGGAATACAGTTACTTTTTTTTTATTACATGTAATCTGTTACATCCCAAACCTGGCTATAACACAAGGGGGATCACCCCTCTTAAACATGAGCTAACATTAAGACACAAATAAATAAGCACATGCATCGACAACCGCAACTAATATCCTTTACCTTCCTCCTCCTTCACCCTGCCTGTGCTCTTGGCAGCCGGCGTTCCAGACTTGGAGGCCACTGACGGAGCTAGAGCCTCAGCTTTGACCTCGGCGCCCCAGGGTGAGATGGCGTGCAGGGAGACGAGTTCCTGGAGGGCTTTACCCGACGACTTGATGTCTTTGAGGAAATCCTCGGAGACCACACGCACGCCAGCGTCCCTCACCTCCTCCATCTTCTTACTCATCTTCTCTACCTCCTCTGTGGAAACATCGAGGAGGAAGCAGGTGTGACAAAGGCAGCGAGTGAGAAAAGTTAATATAGTGAGGGGCAACATACGAATAATTCTGCATTTTTTGGCTGGTTGCTCACTTTTGGTGCTGAGGCAGAGAGAAGCTTTATTTGCTGAGCTGGCAATCTTTCCACCGAGCTCCTCGACAAAAGCCTTGAGATCGTCCTTGTTCTTGCTCAGCTTGCCCACACTCATCAGTTTCATACCAGTAAGAGGTTTGTCTTTGTTGAAATAAAAGACACAGATATAGGAAAATTATAAATACACAACTTATTTCTAAATATTTACTGTGTTATTCCACTGGCCCTAGCAGTCCTATTTTAGTTTCTGTTTATATGAATAACATTTAAAGGAAACACTAAGCATACATAGGTTCCAAAATCCTAATAAATGAAAGGTTTCCATATCTGCAGGATGTTAACACCTCTCGGTTTGTTCACCAACCTGCAGGCGCTCCCTCTGGCAGTTGCTCCGTCTTGACGCCGGATGCACTCGCCAGCGGTTTAGCTTTGGCTGCGCTGGGAGTTTCGGCAGGAGCCTCCTTTGGGTAAACCCTGTCCTGTCGCTTGAACTTGAATTTTTTCAGGAAGGGAATTTCATGGAATTCCTAAAATTATAGAACCAGAACACACAAAGTTGTCAAATGTGTCAAGAATATGTAACATTTCATTCATCTTTATACGAATATTCTATTTGTATCCGCCACAAAGCTACAGCACGTAAAAGGAAGAATAAATACCTATAGTTCCAACCATAGTGCATTTCATCACAATAGGCGCTTTCACACCGGAGTACTTTTCCCAGTATAGTTCAGATATAGTTCCGAAAATGTGCGTTCACACCAAAAAAATCCGGAACTAGAACTTAGTTCATGAGTGCGTGTTCTGATGAACTGAATTCTGATGAACCAAGTACGGCAAAGTAATTGGTGTGAAAGCGCCTAATGATGTGGATACTGCACTACAGGTGGGGATTTAGCATAGGAACTGCTACCTAAGAACCACATGGAGCACTGGAATGAGACGGCGTACCTTGGGGGTGATCCAGTTATTGCGAATGGGAGTCGTTGTTTTGAACACACACTTTGTCCAGGCTGAGATGTCCCCTTGACAGTAATAAGCATCACCCTTGAACACCAGCTGGCCCATGCACTCCTTACAGGGCTCAAGGGCCCCGAAAGCCATGCCGTCTGCGAGGCAGTCCACAACCTGAAGATTAAACATAAGAACTGACTTTAACAGAATCAGGTATCACAGGGGCTTCAGTTTATACAGTAAAGAACAATAACTAAGCAAAGACTTTCTCAATTATTACTAGTGACCAGGTAACCTTCAATTAGGGATGTATATCGTTGACTTTTTTACGATACCGATACCACTGAACGATACCGATACTCAACCGATACATATCGTGATACTTTGAAAATGTATCATCCCACAATTACTCCCATGAAGCGCCCATGTCAAATGAATATTACATTCAATTGTGGGACTTCTTGGACCTTTTAGTACTGAACAAACAATGAAGAATACATTAAAATATGAAGAAAACTGATACGTATGTTGTTGTGGTCTTCTGTGTGTGTAGTGTGTGTGTGCTCATAGGTGTTGGTGTTGTGTGTGTTTTGACCGATGGTTTGGTGTTTTTGATAGTTACTTCAAAGTAATTCCTTATTTTACCTCCTTTTTTTTACATTCAAATTACAGGAGCTTCTAAGAAAAAGTGGAGTGTAGCAGGAAAGCTAGAAGACAAAGAAAACATGTAGTGCGTAACAAGTAGGTCTCGTAGAATTCAATGGAATGTCAGCTCGTTGGCTTCAACGACTTTACCAAATAAAGAAAGGTTAGTGTAAAAAAACAAGGACAAAAACTAAACTTTTTTGAGTTTAATGCGAATCAGTTTGTTTCCCTGTCACCTTTTTGTGTTCTGGCAAGCATGTTCTCTGTCTCTGTTGTGGTATACGTAATCGCTGTGTGGTAAGTACATCCTCGTGGCTAGTAGTCAAATTACCTGTGAAGTGGTGTTCTCTCTTGTTCAGAGTTTGTTCTTGAGCGATCCACATGTTACGACTATAGGTAATGTGTTTAGTTCACGTACTTCCTTTATAAGAATCTTGTTTGGGTACTCTCGCCTGTCTTGCCCTGTGTCCTGTAGTGCATTACTGTTGATCACCAGTCTGAATAGAAATCTCTCACATTTTCTTTTCTTTTTTTTTTATTGGAATATATTGTTCATACCACAGTTCTCCGCTTCTTCCCTCAATATATGTTCAGCCGTAGCAATCTAAACGAGTGTGTTGTTCTCCTGTCTTAAGATCGTAATTACACTCCCTATCATGCCATATGTGTGTCCCTACTTGCGTAGCCAACTCTGTGCATAGATATGATCCTCGCTCGTTGCATCTCTCTCCTTGTATAAAATGACCGAAGACAGTTGCCGTGTCTCACGCTCCTGCGCTATGTCTGTGTTGTTCAAAAAAACGTGTCGTCGACTTCTACCTCGAACGCACTTGTATGTTTGTGAGTTGTACTCTCTGTGTCTTCCTTCAAACACTGCACCATTTGGCTATAGTCAGTTCGCTTCTGCCGTTGTCCCGATTTAATCAGCGCTAGTGGGTCACCGTAACATGGGGTGTGTCTACAGTCGCTTGGACGGTCGGCTGTGGATACTCTCTAATTCTACGACACTATGAACCACTGCAAAAATGGCGAAGTGTCGTTTGAGGCGCTCGCTCGCTCGCTCGCGCTGTAAATGCCCGTTGCGTCTGGTCGTTAACGGCTGGCGGTGTGTGTCGCTCTCTCTTTGCCCGCTCACTTGGATTAGAGACGGTGGTACAGGTCGCTGTTACAATCCCCTCTAGTCGTCCAGTTCGTCGTCGTGCCTGTTGTTGTGCTCGCTGTCCTTCCCTCCTCGTCCTTGTCCCGTCTCTCGGCATAACCTTTGTTGTGTTTTTCTTTCTTCGTAGGTGCCGCTCATTGTATAGATCCGTGGTCGTGCGCTGAGTTGTCCTGTCTGTGTGTGGTGCTCTTTCTACCCTACGAAGTGAGGTGATTATATCATGCTCGTCGCTCTGTTGCTCACATATTCCAAGTTGTTCAGTCGTTGTTGTCTCCATCCTCTAACTAAGAGGTGATACCCTGGTGTGCTACTTTGTATAGTGTGTGTGTGCTGTTGTTCGTTTGTCTGTCGTTGTATTAGTGTATGTCTTCAGCTCGAGTGTGAGGAGTGTGACCGCACTGTTTCGCATTTATTGAATGTGATTATTTTGAAGTTGGCTGCAAGTACTGGCTTGCATGATAGAGTGTAACCTTACCTTTAGACAAGGAACAAACTCGTTTAGACTTGCGCTACGGTGAAATATATGTGTGTGTTGTTGTGTGTGGTGTGTTGTGTAGGGAAGGAAGCGAGAACTGAGTCATGATACAAATATATTCACTACAGTAATGAGTAACAAAAAAAAATGTGGAGTTCCTATTCAGACTCGTGTCAACCAGTAATCCACTACGACAACCACGCACATCTCAGGCGAGAGGTATGTGTGCTCGAAGTATGAGTGATGCTTGATTGTGGTTTGGATCGTGGTGGTGTTTCCGTGGTCGCTACGTTGTACTCATATCGTAGACTGTGGATCCTTACAACTTCTGTGACAAGGACGGACACACACTCTCGGTAATTGACTACTCGGGATTACTCTCACGGATTTACTATTTCCAACAGTCTGCTTGCGAACAAACAAGGTCGACGGGAGAGCTCTATCTCTTGATCTCTGTCTGTATGTAATCCCTCGTCAAATTTAACCCTTTACGTAAAAGTGTGTGTTTCTCTCTATAGGTTTTGTTGGTGTTTCTTTCCTACTATACGGTTGTGTGCTCGTGTTTATTGGTAAGAGAGTCGTGAAAAGAAACGCGCAGAGAGATATACTGTGTCGTGTCGGTCATTTCGCTTGTTGTGTTGTTGTGCTTCGCTCGTTGTTTCTTTGGTCTTTCCTCTCCTGCTACTCTTTTGTTGCTGTGTTGGCGCTCTCCTGTCTCACTGATACTAGATATTCATGTGTCATAACATAATGGAGGTGTCATGATAAATAAGTGTTAGTTCTCTTTAATTGAGTAAATGGGATAGTATGTAGATTCCTTCGTGTTACAGAGGTAGTGTGTAGTATGCGGAAAATACAAATATAAACGACAGAAGACATCTTGGTTTCGGGTCACTAACCCTTAGTTCCTGTCGACTTCCTTCAAGACGAGGTGGTTTGCTATACTTGCTCGACGACTACGTTTGTGCGGTCCTCAGGGAGCGCTCTTGTGTCGGATTGGACGGCATGTCGGTATCCTTGTTGGGATGATATGTGGAGTATAGTGCTCGTGATAGTTTGTAATGAAGTAGACTTTCTATTTCCGCTAACCTTCACCTGTAGATCGTGTAGCTGGGTGTGGTGCTTGTAGTGTGTGTAGTTGTGTGGCTCGCTGTTTTGTGTGTGGGTGCTCCGTAGTGATAGATGGTCGCACCTCCGATGTCCGCTCTCTGCATGGTCTTTAATTCTAGGCGCCAAACTCTGAAATTTTTATTATTTTAATATCATAGTTAAAGCAACTAAAGATATAATGGGACAATTCTAAATAAAGTTCTCAAGCCGACAACGAAACCGGAAAAAAATAAACTAGGTTGTAAACTCCAGTGTTTTTGGGATGCTGCCGAATATAGTTACTTACACCTTGGCGCCAGATGTTCAGAATACCTAATTGGTCGAGGATTCAGCCGGTGATCCGCCCTGCGAAGGAGGTACAGTTTAGAATACAAGAACCTGATTGCATGGTGTCTCAATGTAGTCCTATACTTAGAAGTCAGGTGGTTGGAAATCTTATGAGATTTACCGCGTGATGCAATACGCTGGTCTGAGTCCTAGTCGTTGGCGGGGGGTGATATACCATACACTGACGCGCCGCCCGGCGGCGCGCGCTCGCTCTCTCTCTCGCTCAGCCTTTTCTCACTCTCGTCGCGATACAGCGCGCATTAGTCAACGTCGTGCGCTTCTTATCACCATGCTCAGTGTCTCGTACTTTGCTCTCTGCTTGTGCCTGTCTGGTCTAGTATAATGCTCTCGCCGCTCTGTGTCGCTACTAAAGCAGTGGCTCAGTGTTAGTAATTTGAAGGTATCTGACGCCTGACCTTTATTTGGTATGAGTCGATATATCTAGTGAGTCAGTCCTCTTATGCCACAGAACGCCCTATATAAAACTTTCAACTTTTCAGACAACACCAGGAGCCTTGTCAGATAACCAACTTCAGGACATTCTCAAATGTGTATATTTGTACAACGACTATCGATGCGATAACGTGATTTACCATTGTGAACTTATGCAATACGTTTATAGTTGAACACAACTTTACAGATTATTTAACCTCAGGAGTCTTGTCGTAGAGAAAGGGTCTGTAGGGGAGACACGTGCTTGGGAATGTGATACGAGTTAATTTTTTTGTAATTTGTGGAGCGCCGAATATCAGGGGGTCACGCCGAAATATATACATGTTGTAGTAAGTTAAATCGACGACGCCGAATATAAAGTCCAGCGCAGTTATATCAGGGCTTTTAAATGCTTCATTAAAATTTCACTCAGGAACCGGGCACTACCCGCCACAATATTTATCTGAACGTATTAGCAAAAGAGTAAAATACATAAAAAGTAACAAACAAGTTTATGATCTTCCATTCAGGTGTTTACTTGACACTACCCTAAACAAAAGGGTGGTCACTTCCGTTTACAAGCTAAAATTTCTACTCTACAAAACAGAACACTAGGCTCTAGAGTACTGGTAATAGACAATGAAATAAACAGAGATCAGCTTAGAGTCCAAATTGTAATTATATTGCCACGATTTGCCAGAACAAACTTACCTTTCTCACGATAAGTGGCCGTGTGGACTACCACCCACAAAGTATTTATAT